CCTTAAAGAAACTAATTTTTCTTTGAGATGCCCGAGAAATAAATGTCATTTTTGCATTAAAGTGGTATTGTAATCAAATTACAGTCCATTAGTAGAGTATTTCTTCTGGAAAGTAGTTCCTGATGTTTTTCTTTGTAGAACTATTTGACTTATTTCTTTGTAAAAGTCTATCCTTTACAGCCTGTCGTTCATCTTCTCCATTTCTAAAGTACAGTTCCCCTCAGTTTCACTCCTAACCCACTTCTGTCATTTTTGCTTTGTCATCCATCATCACATTCTTATCCTCCTTATGGCACCTCATAAGCTCAGCCTGCTCTCCAAGTTTCCCTCACTTATTCCCATTTTCTCGACACCATTATCTGTCTACCCTTTGCAGTTCCCATCAATATTTCTCCTTTTTTTCTGTTATCATCTGTCTTTGGCAGCTGGGGAGAGTTCCACTTTTAGGAGAAAGGCAGATCTGCTGTTTGAGGAGACTGTGTTTGCACAGATATACACAGGGCAAATGTGAATAAATGACAATACTACACAAAAAGGACAGTTCTGTGTAAAGAAGCTTTCTTCATAAGTGTGTTTCGGCTATTGATGATTAAAGCACAAACAATCACAAATTCTTAGAAAACGCCACAGAACATGGACAAAACAAATGCAGAGGGCATGTCTGCAAGACAATATAAATTAAATCAGGTGACTAAGACTAAAATAGACAATGAACAAGAAAGAGAAGAAATAGATCTTGTGAGGAATGTCTTCACGCCCAAGCACTCCACTGAATGTGCTCAGCTGTGGGTGATGGTTGACATTAAAACCAACAGGGATGTAGAATCGATACTATCTGTAACAGCTCATGATAAGACTGTTTTAAAGCGAGGACGCAGTGATCGCCCTTCAAAGACTGATTATATCTGTTGAAACAGCACTCTAATGTTGACGGGGACACACTCCAGAGACTGAGCAGTGGGCCCTGTCAGCTGACCAGTCCAAGGAATTGCTCACTTTCACTTTTATTCTATCATGAGTTTGGTTCTGTGTGTTCATGTCTTTCGGCAGATTTGACTGTAACCAGTTCTATTTTTTTTTCAATCTAACATCCATTGAAAACGCTGTCACTGTCAGAATCATTAGACAATTTACCCTCAATGACAAATTGTGAAATAAGTACATTTTAGTAAATGTCTATGGTTTCTTTGCGAAGATTACAGTCTATGTAGTGATAAAAGAACATGATTATTTCAATCCTTTTCTTAATTTGGATTTTCACAGATTCCATACTTTTGTGGAAATGTTGCACAATGAAAACATATTAATTAATAATTGTGTATATCAATCTTCTTTTGAACCAAGTGCCACTGATTTTGCTCGGAACACATGGTATTTCTGCACAGTTGCAAATGCAGCCGTAATTTTTGTTAGAAAACTCCATCACACCCTGAATCTGCTTACCACATAATTACTGCACATGTACACTAAACTGACTGTTGCTTATTTATGGTCTCTCACCCCATGCTCTCCTCGCTCTTTGCTAGCATTCTGTCGGTCTCCTGAACTTCCCCCAGCATCCTGCTCCTCATTAGAAGGCCTTTCATGGTCAGAGCCCATAAAACATCAATGGAAGGCAGCCTGAAGAAAACATGGCTGTTCTGAGGCTTTATTGAGCATTAATTACATAATCTCCATACCAGACAGTAGAGGGTCAATCAGTTCTTCACTGGCATAGCCGACCTATGACCACTTGTCGTACACAGTCAGACACATAAACTCACATTTCACACACCAACTGCCTCTGACACAGACACAAATACACTCATAAAGGTCATGCATACACAAACTCATATATAATACAGACTGACATGTTATCACACACACGCTTTGAGCCCACTAGACTCATTAACCCCTAGCCACATGTGCATAACACAGGCTGATGTTTTCTTCACAGCCATCAGAAAAGTGAAGCAAAAAGCGTTACACAGACAGAGATAAGCCACTTCTGTCTGTTGTATGACCACGTTCAAGGTTTTTCTTAACATTTCCATGTGACTTTAGATGGGGTACTGCTTTAGATTTATTGAGGTTGACCCGCACAAATTGCAAATGAATAAGACAGCAGAGCAAATGTGGAATTCATACCAACACATTTCAGAACTTTAATAATGGGATACGTCTGTGGCCATTTGTCAGTTGGTGATTTGTTGGTGCTGTCCTATTTGTTTGGACTCAGCCAGTGATGAGGAGCAGGCTAATTATAGAGTTGCTTTCCTAATGTATTCGTAAACAGTGTCTGTCTTCAGAAATAGAATGATTGAAAGCGGGAAATGACTCACGTTGCCACAATGTTCCCTCCTTCTCACCTTCATTTCTCTCTTCTCTCTTTGCTTCACACTTTGTTTGTCCATCTGTCATGTGATAGTCTCTTCATCAGGGCTGTGTAAGAAGGTGGATTTTTTTCTTTCCCAGTCATTAAATTGTTTGTGTCACTGTAACAATATGTAGAGGCAGCTAACTCTGCAAAACAATCCTTAAGACGCATCTCCCACAGGAATAGCCCCATCCAATCTGTCTTATTCAGTTGTACAAGCTTAAGTGAGTAATGCTGCAATATTCTGTGCCAGATATAACACCACTTTCTATAAGTTCATAAACTCAGAAAAAAAAAGAAACAACATTTCTTGGTTATTTGCCAATGGAAATGACAAGGCATGGCCATCTGGGTTTAAGGCTCAGAACTAGGAGTCAATGATCCTACTAAAAGCATTAAACACATCCCAAGAGTGTACAAAATGTGGCTTCCTTTGTAAAGAAACTGTTTTCTTTGGAGTTCTAAATGTAGGGTTTTCACCAAACAAACAGGATTAGACTAAGAACGTCTTTAAGGAAAAGCATGTGCAGAACAGTTAACGCACAACCTCTTTCAAAGGAAAGTGTTAGAATTAATCCAAGAAACAATAATCCTCTGGTGCTTATTTGCAACACGAACTTTAATGTCACGTTTGCCTGACTCTTACAGTACTGCATAAGACTTGAGCAAGAAGAGTTTTTAATGTGGCCTAAATGTAACAAAGGTTTTATCACCTTTGTCAAGTTGTCTTTAGTACACTGTAGAAGGGAAATGTCTTGAACATTTAGCTTTTAATGATAACAATTTTCATCCTTTCTTTTTTCAAGATGTTTCAAATAATAATTATTAGGTTTTCTAATGGGCTTTGATTTTTTTAATTTAGATATTGACTGTTTATTTTTCAATTATATTGCACTGCAGTCCTTATACCTGCTCTTTTTCAGAGTTTGTTTATTTCTTCATTAAATCAGTATCTGGTTGATACTAGAGGGCAACATTGAAAATAACTCATTTTAAGTATTATCTTCAGGCACTTTGTTATGGGCTGCCTGTTAGACAGACATGCAAATAACGGAAACATACTTTGTTTCTCTTTGTCGACAGAAAATAAAAGATATATAATACAGTTTGACAAGAACCTGGTATAACTTAGCATGCATGCGATGTGTCCTTAAGAAGCTTTCATAAATATTTTAGTAAGTTTTAGTAAGTTTTTAGTAAGTTTTAAATTCAAATAAAGTTCGTCAAAGAGGGCCTGGGCTGTGTAGAAGAATGAAAGTGGTCATACAGAATTCTGACTTTAAGGAACACTACAAATATGCTAATTGTCAATTTGTAATCTGTATTCCTATGTATGCACATCTTTCAGTGACTCGGTCAGCTTTGTTGCATTCTCAAGCCATCATTTCTGTCTCACAAAGGAAATGGTAGGACAGTAAAACCTTTTCACTGTTCTTTACAGATTATCATTTCTTGAGCAATAACATTTATATTGACAATTAACATAAAGAGTCATGTCCAGAACCTGAGGACAGCATTTATCAAGAGGCATGTAGTCTGACCTTGGAGCTTCATATGGCAGATTGTGATTCTCTGGTCTCATAATTGCACACTGAGGTGCGATTCATTTTATGCATTCATTGTTTTTTTTAAATGCATTCACTCATTAGAGTGCTAAACACCGTGTGTGGGAATGGCTTTAGGCCACGCCCACAAGTCAGGTGTGAGACCTGGACAACCGTGAGCGAGCTGTCAGGACGAGTGGAGCACATTCCTTTACCTGAGAACTAAAACCTTCTGATAAATCAGTTATCATTGACGTGCATTGCATCATAAATTATGAATGCCAGGGCTTTTCTGCAGGTAGGGACGCATACCGCTCCAACCTGTTTCAAGTTGAACATCATTCAACGCGTAAAAATTTCAATCAAGGGGCTGGCTGAGACGAAAATGGCTCGTTGCTCTAAGCTCTCCGCTCTCTGGCTCCCTCTCCTCCCTCCGTGTCAGCCCGCTTTTTCTCCCCGCCTCCCTCTCATTCCACAGAGTGGCAGCGCTGGCACAGCATCGCGCAGACAGCCTTGAGTTTGAGCTGCGGTATCTGCCCGTGTGCACCTCTTCACAAAGATCCCCCTTTGGGCCGTTAAAGCCCGGCTGGCGTGAGTCAACAAAAAAAAACAGGCTGCACGGCGTCAGCCAGTGCGAGGCTATTTTCTGACATGACTTAAAATAGCTTATTTCAGCTGTAAATGCGTAACCTAATTCTCTCATCTCTTGCTTCTCTCTCTGTAGGTGAGCCAAACAAAAAAAAACAACCCAACGGTGGATGAATAAGACATGAGATCAGCCTTCTGCGAGAGAAGATAATTATCTGTGGGAAATAATAAAGCTTCTGTCCTGTCCTCAGGAAAAAACACAGGACATCTGCGCTGTGAGGAATCGCTTCTGTACCGTGCGGCAGTGCGCAGAGAGCAGCCACACGCGCACGAGAAGGGTGAAAGGAAGCAGGAAGGTGGAGGGGTGTTTTACGCACAGCGGCACCAAGTAGCCTCGTTTTCGCTCTTACCAGGAGTCGCCTACTCTGTGAAGGACTTAACAGTGTCTCCTTGTCCTTTTTGGTCGGATTTTCACTTTGACTAAGTCCAAAACCTTACAGGGGTTGACAGAAATGGATTCCCTCATCATAGCGGCTCTGGCACTGTGCTCTCTAACGGCACCAGCCTATGGGGACAAAGGCTCCAGCAAAGCCCGGAGTTGTTCGGATATCCGGCAGTTTTACGGTGGAAAGGGATTCCCTCTGGATGATGTGCCTCAAATTGAAATATCAGGTAAGCTCCTTTTAAATACAGCAAGACAAAGTCGTTCTTCTATGCGCACTTTTTTTATTTATTCAATGTATTTATCTATTGTCAAAAATGTTTTTACAATAACTTTTTTTTAAAGCTCAAACCTAAGAGTTTGATATAGGATAATTATATGTTTACTCTAGACTGTAACCCATTACCCTTAAATATGTTCCTGGGCCTTGGTTCACCAACACAAGGTGTGTTCTGCATTTTTTACATGTAGATGTTGTTATGTTTCTATATTTATTCATTTCAAATTAATCATAGTCAGTTTGGATGTAACTGGTTCCTCACTTGAAGGATTGCCCTTGAATGCAATTCTTTAAAACTGGTGTGAACTATATCTCTTAGTTTCACAGAGAAGAGAAAGGCATTGTCTTTACAGCCCCTAAATTTTACCTTATTCTCCGACAATCATTTCATGTCACATGATGCTGTAAAGTGCAAGAGCGCTTGCTCTGGGTTATCACCAAAGATGAAACACTCCTTTGAAAAGATATTGAGGTGCAGACATGCCACAGACAATCTGCCTGTTTGATCCCTGATCAAAAAATAGGAAAAAGTCCCCTCAAATTCAGTCATCCTGAACATTTTGGAGAAACAAATCCGGGATCAGGACCTGACTTTCTATTTCCTTTCATTAGTATCCCGGTTACTTTGAACTAAGCCTCCACTCCTGAGCACACTCCCTAATTTTGTCCTTTAAACTATTCATTCAGGGGGTTGCCATTGATGCCAGGCGATCACTTGACCATATGCTGCAACAGCACAAACATGATGTTGCTTTTAGTGTCATTCATGGTCTGATGTCAGTCACAAGTCCCTCTGCAGTTCAGATGATTATATGTTTGCCTCCCCTGGAATTCAGTGCGGTGCTTTTCAGGCACATCAACACACAGGCACATATGTAGTTTACTGCAGGTCCAGCTTCTACTGTTACAGTACCATACATGCATGGACAAGACAGAAGTCTCAAGCCATGCATGAAAACACAGTAACTCTCCTGTGCACATTTAGATGGACTATACTGTATCTCAGATTTGTTCTTGCCTTATTTGTTTGACGTGAATAGCTTTTGGTATTCACACCATTCAGACTAAAATATGTCAGGATGTGTATTGTTTAGATTGGTAATTTGCATCAACCGTCCTTTCGAATCTGATATTGCTCCCAAAAATCCCTCCAAAAAAATGTTTCATGTGTTCTTTTCCCAACTGCCATATTCAAGCAGATTCACTTCGGCACAGGTCATTTTGTAATATGGTGTGAGTGTATCTCTCTCTGGGGAAATTAGTTTGTCTGCAACATTTTAGATTGATTATGTACTGTCTCATCCCCATCATGCAAATACCAAAGGTTTCACAAAAGATCAATCCATTATAGAATGATGGTTTGACTTGTCCACTTCACCTGTTGACAATTATTTTTCTCATCAATTTGATGTACTGTTTCTGAATACCTATTATCTTTAATGTATCTTAGTCCTCTAACAAAGTTGAGCTTTTACTGAATAGATGAAACGGAGCATGTGAGTAAAATTATATTTTATGCTAATTTTTCCAGTAAGCATTTCCAAGTGATTACTCTCCTATATTGAAAGTAGTTTAGAGCAACTATAAAATTTGAAGCCGGGGGGGTAGTAATGGTATGAAACCGTTTGAATCTCGTCATTATCATCATCACACTTTTCATAATAAATTAGGGCAGTGAGGGGCGCTTCTAATTTACTTGATTGACCATGCTGAATAAATCATTTGACAGAATTAACAGCCGCCATAGTGTCTTAAGAGGTCCAGCTTTCTGCCAAATGTCTGTAATCCATAACACTTTAAAGAGCAAATCTGTCTTGTCATGACACTGGCTATTCCTCTTGTTTCAATCAATGGTGTGGAGCTTACTTAGATTTGGGGTCAATGCATTCTTAGTAAGACAGAAAATAAGGTAGTGAGACAGACAGTGAAGAATAGAAGTTAAATAACAACGGAGAGTTTCAGTTTTGTTCACTGACACTATACTACCGTGCAACCATGTTTCTTGGCCCTTAGACATAAATAACCATTCATCAGCCATAGTCTGGCATATTAAACACCTAGTAAAACATCAAAGGTTTCATTTATGCCTCCAAATTATGAACCACTTGAGTGTTATTGATGATCTCTGACATTTTCAGAGGGTATTTCCCACTGTGACATCAGAGTTTGATCAACTTAATGTATTGGCTGGGCCTCGAGGTCACATGCTGAGTACGTCGGGCAGATTCAGCCTTTGAGAGGGAAGTGAGAGCATTGCTCCCCAACTCTAAAAATTAGGTTCAGTTGAAGGACTTAAAAGCCACAGCATGGCTTCTGGGCACACAAAACAATTATACGTCCATTAAACTGTCTTCATGCGCACAAATTGCAAATAATATGGATGTACAAACAATTACAGTTTGGTTAAGGCCTGTAAAACATATCCCAAAGGAAAAAATATGTCATTCAAATTCACTTTCAAGAAAATGTTGTTTCTTAAGTTTTCCAGTCAAGGATTTAATGTCCCCTATTTTTTTGGTTTTTAGACCATTAGATTCTACATTTGATTTCAATGTGGTTTTATAAAAATCTGCAATATCGAAAATATTCCATATCATCACCCCATATAACAGCCTTGTTTGCTCCATCAGTGGCGATAAATGATTTCCAGATATTGCTTTCACGTTGATATGCCTCATAAAACATTGTGCACGGACCCCTATTCTAAATAATTTGCCCAGGGGAAAAGCTATGCTGAAGAAAGCTGTTGAATTAAGGATGAGCTGTTTTGTTTAGGTGATGTTTACCGGACCACAGCGGTATCATGAGCTGAGCACTTTAAAAATGAAAACTATCCACAGGGAGGAATTTATTTATACATTAAAGAACAAAACGGAACTGAGTGATGCTCTGTGAATGAGTACGATGATTCAAATTGGCCTGGTATGATCAGTTTTGGAAACAGCTCTTTTTTGTTAGTGTTTACCGAAAAAAAGGATGATTGATTTCCATGATACTCAGCCGACTCCTCCCTGTGCTACTTCTTCCCTGTCCCACCCCATCATTACAGCCTTGATGACTTATCTTTCAGTCTTTCAGAGGATGACATTCTTTATTTCTCTGTGTCTCTCTCTCATCAACTCCCAAAGAAAGAAGCGCCAGCTTCTCTTTGAAAGCAGCTGGCAGCCAATGAGTGTTAGATCCTCAATGTCACATAAGCCTTTACAAAGAGACGAGCTGTGTGAGACATCTGCAGGAAGGCTGGTAACATTTTGGCATTGATTTTTTCATGCTGTATGTTGTGCTGTTGTTGAATGCTGGTTGCTACAGACCGAGTAGGGTGCTCTGGAGGGTCATTGCTAACCATTGCCAGCTAATGACCACTGCTCACCAGGCCTGCTAGGGCTTTCAAGGATCCCCGGTCACTAAGTACTGGCCTGTGGCAGGAAACATGGTGTGATCACTTTGGTAACCCACTGTGAGAAGCATGGTGATAGTCTGAAACCATTTTTTAAATGATTATTGTGTCAGTACAACCTTTTTTGTTAGTTATCTTCTCCCAGTATTACCAATATGAAGTCACACTGGATGGATGTGGGGATTTAGGCTTAGTTTTTCTATTCAGTTCTTTCCTTTTTTACAGACATAGTTTGTTAGAAGTTGACTTAGCAATTTGCTCAAATGATATTTCTATTTGTTCATATGAGGGCATGAATCTGTTCATGCTCTCATATGAATGGCCATATTGTAAATTCTATATGCTTAATATGGTTTATCCAACTAAAAGTCAAACAATTATTCATTTTCAAAAGAAGTTTCAAGTCACTGATTACTGGGTCCATTTGGTCTAGAAACAGCTTTGAAATTGTGTAATTAGGTTGTTTCAATGGCTGCTTCAATCTTTGGAACAGTTTATCTTGCCACGTATCTACAGTTTCCACTATAGAGATTTTAAATCAGAATGACACTTCTCAGCTTTCAAGTCAAATAGACTAGAAAAAACCCAATGTTATAAATGACAAACTTAGCCCTTTTTGTCATGTTTTAAAAGTCTTGTCATTCATCTTTCCCCGTTAGAATGCCAGAAAAAAACGGTAAGTTCTAATGTTGTTTAATATTTGTGCACACACAGTGTATCCAGCAAATGGATTAAATCCGCAATGCTACATATTGATATGCTGAAAAGGGCTCCAGAACTAAATAAATAATTAATCAAATGTAAATGCAGTATGTGTTCCAGTAACTTTACTGTTGTGTACTGAAGCCTTAACTGTATTTGAATTAATCCAAACTGAGATTTTGTTCTTTTGTATATGTGGGAGGAAAAAAGGGATCCCACAGAATTTTAAATGTATCAAATGTATGGAAGTCATTAACTGTCTTGGAGATAAGAGAGCCAAAGCTTATTTGAAGGTTAACATCAGCATAAATTCCGGTGCTTCTGTTGGTCTGCATCCTCAAGCAGATTAAAGGAAAAGCAACAGTTGTTTCTGTTCTACAGTGTGCAGGCTCATAACTCTGCTGTGGTTTAAAGAGTGTCAATTCCTGCATCTTGGATCCTGTCTGCGCTTGTTCATGTGTAGCTGTGTGTTTATGAGTGTGCAACTGAATATACCGAAGCTGTTAAAATGGTGAAGTCAGTAAGAAGCCTCTTGAAGCATTAAGCCATAATGGGTTGCAGGGAGCATGAAACAGACCACATGTGTTTGATGTTCTCTAAAGGAAGAGAAGGAAAGAGAGAGAGAGAGAGGCGGAGAGAAAATGGACTGCTGACTTGACACAGGCTGCCCTGGTCTGCTTGGCTCTTCCTGTCAATGCAATGCCCTGGTAACAGGTTAGAAGAGAATAAAAGAAAACAGGGTCTTTTAGAAATGTCTACTTCCTCATATTATCATTTTTACAATGTTGGGCATCCACAGGTCAGCCTGTAACTGCATATAATTCATTTGAACCTAGGATAGTGCGTGAACG